TGCTGTATCAAAATCAGTTCCGGTACAAATAAATAAATAAATAAATAGCAGTTTCCAGAGCCTTTTGCTAACCCCAGCCAGTTTCAAGCATATTTTACAGGCCACTTCTGCTGCCTGGGCCAAGACCAACTCACAAAGTACTCTCCGGATAACACCAAACACTTGCAACAGCTCCTGGGACTTCACCATTGATACCAACTCTCCGAGATGAAGGACACCTACCCACTAAAATCTGGTTGTATCTAATACACCCGAGCCTTACCTGTCCAACCAGGACACTACCCTGTTCCATTCTTTCCGGCAGTTAATGCATAGGACCAGTAATAACAAGATCGTTTTCTCCTAGCCACCTGCCTTCTCTCCTCCCTCAGAAAGCAACTGCTTGAGTACTCCAGGATGACAGCAAACCAGATTCTGCCCCAGCCACACCTCTCTCTGAGCATGAGCACACCAACTCTCAGCTCTCCCGTCTCCCACATCGCCCCATGCCCACAGGAAGCAGCCAGACTTGAACCAATGCCCCTTTATCCAAAGAGAGCCTAAAATGTGTCATAAATTTACCTCAACTCCTTGTCACATACTTATATCCAAAGAGTTTGGGATGCAATATTGAGTTGGAAGTGTCACCCCAGCCTGCCAAGTACTGACCCCTCCCAGGGAGGATCAGGACCCCTCCACAGGGTATTTAGGGTCACACCAGAACAAGGAACACGTGGTTTGGGGTTTGCGTGTGGTCTCCCTCTATCTTCCCCCTGCCATGCTCCTGGTCACCCGAGAGTCTGTTATTTAATAAGCTCAGGGATTTAATTTGGTTTAATCTGATCTAATTAAATTCCTTTGTGCTGACAGAGAGGCACTGTTAGAAAATATTCCTAACAACCACAATAAGATAAATGGGGGCTAAACATCTGAGGGTCAAAGTTAATGGTTAAGAAGCCTACTCACAACAGGTTTCATCTATCCACGTTTATTTATTCCTTCTCTTCCAATCCTTATTCTTCCTTATTTTCTTTTCTTCTCTCTCATTCTACCTTGTTCTTCATTGTTCTATCTATTCCAAATGTTTCCCAGCCATGTATTTTCTTAAAGCCAGCAATTCCCCAGTCCTCGCAGGTTCCACGCCTGGAATCCTTTTGCCCTATAAAAATCAGGTAAGAGTGAGTTTTCACACACAGAGAGATATGTGACTGTCAACTCAAAGGTGGGAATGACTAGTGCATTTATAGTAAACTCCTAATGAAGAAAGCTTGTAAAGAAATGAATTAAATCATCAGAGAATTCTAGAGGGGTAAGATACTGTGCTACACCACATATTTAGGTGGTGAGAAAGCTAAAGGGTTTATTTTTCAATAAAATTATGAATAGAGGATGAACTGTTTACACCAGCACGAGACTCCTTTTCTCCCAGTATGCATAGAATTGGATAACAATGCAACCTACATAAACAGTCAGGGAGAAGCCATGGTTCTTATTCAAATAGTACATATACCAAATGCTGCAATTTCTATGGGCCTAGGTCTGGAGTTTACCTTTAGAAATATAAAAGGGACCTAGACCTCTAAATTATCAACTCTTGGTCATGCTGTTATCAGTTGTTCTGATCATGGGTGTTGTGGGTCTTTCCTGGTACAGCTAATTATCTCTTCTGCTGTCCTTGAAAGTATAACACAGGCTGTAAATTTCCTGAACTAAAATCATCAGTAAACTGAGGTGAAAGTGAGCATAAGGGGTTAATTATCTTTTTAACTGGGGTAAAACCAGAGCAGCAGCTTGGGCAGGTAGTAATTCTAAGTCCTTGGAGATCATTTAAGAGATCATCTTAAATGAAATGCTTTTTCGTAAATCCTAAGCACTGACCAAATGCCAGTTGAGTATGCCAAATGCAGGAAGGTAGACATCTGTATTTACCTATGAGACAGTGATGAAGGCAGGCAGTATGAAATTAGGGGAAACAGCTCTGAACTGTGGGAATTGATTCCCAAATATACAACCAGAAAGGAAGCTAGCTACAACTAAAGTCTAGAGCAGAGGACAGCCACTTGATTCACAAAGCATTAAAGCCAAAATTTCCTTGAGTCTTGGTTTAACTCTTACCAAGGGCCCCTGGCTCTAATAAGTCTCTCGTGGAAAGATGGCTGAGCAATTACTGTATGATGTTGCAGTCTGTAGCATGTACTATCACTTTGTGCTGTCTATTCAATACTGCAAAGTACCAGAGCAAAGTCTCCATTCATTTCTCTAAACAGTCCTGGACTAGTGGAGAGCTGTAGTCAGGTGACTCACTGACGACACCAATCCCTCGTGAAGATATAATAATTAATTGGGAAAAATACTCCATCTTCCAGAAGGTAATACTTACCTATAAACACCTTGCAGAGCAAATAGAGATTGTTTATCCTACCGACATGTTTAACACCTTTAGATTACACATGGATTACTTCTGTAAGCAGACTCAACTATAATTACATAGAAAGTATTGAGACCCTTTGTGATCAGACTGATGCAATCAACATGACCACAGTCTGACCTGGTGGTTCTTATGCTCTTTTCCTGTTCTGTCTTGGAGTTGCCAATACTTTTGGAGACAAGGATATCCAATATTCATGTATGGAGTTTGGTCCTGCCTCAACATGCTAAGTCATGCTTTGTTGACTACCATGCAAGGCCTTACCTCTTCTGAATGGAGATGGGGGGAAGGGTGGATGGGGCATAGAAGGGAGGTGGGGAAAGGGAATGAGGGGAGTTGTGGTTGGTATGTAAAATAAATCAAAAAGTAACATAGGTGCACAGAAAATAATGAAACTTTCAGAAATTCTCACCTAAAATAATAGATATTGAGGGGAGTAACATGTTAACTAACAAGATTTAGCTATTCCTCACAGTGTCTGTGAACAATAAAAACCAATAATAATCCTTAAATATTTAGAGTAATTTGTCAGTTAAAAAATAAAATGGTACCTGTAGAGGGGGCTCAAAGGTTAAGAGCACAACTTGCTCTTCCAAAAGACCCAAGCCCAATTCAACCACACAACTGACGACGACAACTATCTGAAACTCGTTACTGGGCATACAGTGCCCTCCCTCTGGCCACCGTGGACACTGCACACATGTGTGCACAGCCAGATGGAGACAGAATCCCAGAGTCCAACTCCAGTTGGGTTCTTTTGACACAGGACTGTTTAGCGAAGTCGGCAAAGAAGGAAGAATCTGACCACCGGTTGTCTTTCAAACTGAAAGCCCCAACTAGCTCAAGCCATCTTTAGTTATACAACTTCTAATGCATTCAAGCATGAGCAGTCTCAAATCATTTCTCTTTAATCATTTTACAAGAATCACTGACAATTATTCACTTTAATTTCTCCTCTTTTCCCACTCCTCTGACGTCATTGACCTTTACTCCAATTATTCTAATGCAAGCCAAGTGTTTATATCTAGCTAGGCACATCTTACTCATACTGTGCCCTAGCAAGCAGCAAATATGTATTTACAAAGTAAGAGATTTAAGTCCTGTGATTATTTTTTTAACAATATTGAATAATCTGAGAATATTATGATGTGTAGGATATTATTTTCAGGTGTATACCAGCTTCTAAGTTTACCTGTATGTCACCTTTATTAAGTGGATTTCAGTTATAATACTATACTTTATGAGTTCTAAAAATAGTAATGATCATTATGTAACTCTTTAAAGGTTGGGACTAAAGTTCTTCTATTCTTTATGGAAAATTCTGCATGTTTTTTTTTTCTTTTAAAGGAACTAGGATTTTTAGATTCCTTTATTGACATTTTGACACTGGAAAAATATCTGAGTATTTATGTCCTGGCAGCAGAGATATGTCTGATTTTTTATGTCTTAAATCTTTATATTATATGTTCCTAAATGTTTATATTGTCATCTTTTAAGAGAACATTTTCCAAGTTCTTAAGTTCTTTGGAGTAAATTTGTCTCTTTTTGTAACTTAATAAGCAATAATCGTTATTAGCCTTAGTGAGTTCCTTCTGCTTAATCAGGATGACTGCAAAGGCAGCCAGGGGCAACAGGAGAAACCAGTTTCTGTAACAGATTAGAGAAATTTAATTTTTTCTGTAAGTGCTTCTGGTCCCAGTGAACTCAGGCACAATCATGACTAACAAAGTAAAACTAAGAGTTATCATTAGAATAAAAATGGGAAAAGTTATAGAGGCCTGAAGCCCATGAGTTCCCTAGGATTAGTGCAGGAGTCTGCAATATTGTTTCCATAGGTTTATGCCAAATGGATGGGACCCTCCAAAGCAACTTGCATTCTAGCAAGCTCCAATTTGAAAACATTTATGTGCCTTTCTCGTGGGTGAAAGCATGGATTCTATCAACAAAACACTCACATGCATAAAAATAAACAAATATTTAATTAAAATTAATGGTGGAAGAAATGTTTCGAAGTTAAAAGCACTTTCAGCTCTTGCAGAGGACTAAAATTTTGACTCTGACATCCACATGGCTACTCACTACTATCTATAACTCCAGTTCCAGAGATCCAACACCCTCATGTGGATACTGTGAGCAACAAGTACAGGAAAACACACAGGAATATCAAGTACAATAGCGCACATACACATGTGCAGGCAAGGACTTCATGGTCATGAATAACAGTCTTTTTAAAATAGTAAAACATAATAAGAAAAAGATAAAGATCTGCAATTACATGATAGATATAGAATTGGAAAAAATAGAAAATAAAGATACATTAAAAGTAATTATAGGCATGAATATAATAGAGATTATGATACAGAAAAGACAGCAATATATACAAAGCACTTCCGATAGCATATATAACCTATTCAGTCTCAAATACTTTTATTTTCCAATTATTAATTTTATTTCAAGTAGATATAGAGACGTGCATAATAATATCTGATTTTATATCAAGTTTGTGTTCAACTCCATTCTGTGAATACATTGTTTTATTATTTTCCTACTTGTTTCTATAAATTCATTCTAAAGAGAGTGTGAGAAATTTTTATCATGCTTTCTGTGAATATATCTGAAGATGTAAAACTTTTCTGAGTGCTCCTTTGACTTCTGTGTTTCTCAGGCTGTAGATAATGGGGTTTAACATGGGGGTAATGACCCCATACAGCATAGAGATGAGTCTGTCTCTGGCAGGAGAGTGTTGACTGGAGAACGGGCGGATATAGGTAAATATTGCTGTGCCATAGAACAAGAAGACGACAAGAAGATGAGAAGCACAGGTGGAGAAGGCTTTGCGCTTCCCTTCTACTGACTGGATCTTTAGGATGGTGGACACGATGTATATGTAGGAGATCAAAGTGATCAGAAAAGCACCAACACCAAAAATACCTCCTACCACTAAAACAAGCATTTCTGCTATGTAGGTGGATGAGCAAGACAGGGCCACCACAGGTGGGATATCACAGTAGTACTGGTTTACTCGATTGGACTTGCAGAAAGTCAGGCTAAAGGTGGACATTGTGTGGATGAAGGAGTTGAGAAATCCAGCTGCCCAGGTCCCCACCAACATCTGCATACAGCGAACCTTGGTCATGATGAGGGAATAACGCAGAGGGAAGCATATGGCCACATACCGGTCATAAGCCATCACAGCCAGCAAGAAAACTTCAGTCCCAACTAGGGCCACCAGGAAATAGAGCTGCAAAGCACACCCAACAAAGGAAATGCTGTGATCTTCAGTCAAGAGATTCTTGAGCATCTTGGGAACAGTGGCTGATGGGCAAAATATGTCTAGCACGGACAGATTTGCCAACAAATAATACATGGGAGTGTGGAGCTTTCTCCCAGTCACTATGGCCAAGAGGATGGCCCCGTTTCCCAGCAAAGTCATCTGATAGATGATGACAAAGGCCACAAAGAGGGGATAACGCACCTCAGGGAGGTCAGAGAGCCCTATGAGGATGAACTGAGTTACTGTGGTAAGATTGTAGACATCCATCTTCTCTGTCCACAACGATGTTTCTAAGGGAAATGAAAGCAAAGAATAAATATTCAAGTGATAAATCATTGATTCTGGTGCTGAGAAAATGGGAATACAGCAGAATGTGCTGGAAAAAGAATTGTCTTACCTCTATCGTTTTTACTATTCTCTCATCATGGTAGATGTTTTTGGATTTGTTTTGCCAGTATTTCATTGAGTATTTTTGTATCTATGTTCATATGGGAAATTGGTCTGTAATTCTTTATTTTGTTGAGTCTTTATATGGTTTTAGTAATACAGTAACTGTGGCCTCATAAAATGAATTTGTCAGTGTTTCTTCTGGGGTTTTAGTGGAATAATTTGAGGAGTGTTGGCATTTACATTAACTAGTCTTTGAAATTCTGGTAGAATTCTGTGCTAAAAACATCTGATCATTGACATTTTTGGGGGTAGAGGTTGGAAAATTCTTCTAATTCAGTAGGAGTTATGGATAGATTTAAGTTGTTTATCTCTTCTTGATTTAACTTTGATAAATGGTACCTATCAAGAAAACTATTCATTTCTTTTACCTTTTTAAGTTTGGTGTAGTAAAATATATCCTTATGATTTGTAAAGCATGTCTTATGATTCTCTGGAGTTCCTTAGTGGCTGTTGTCTTGTGGATTTTCCTTTTAGAAGTTCTAGAACTTCTGGGTATCCATATTTTTTCTGAATATAAAAAAAATCCTTCATCCCATATCAGGAGAAAATTCACTGAGTAACTAAAGAAACTTTGAAAATTCATCTTTTTATTAATCATAGAAGAATCTTTAGGTTCTTTTATTTCATAATTAATTAAATGTTGATTTATTTTTCAAATTACCTTAAACTTTTGATTCATTTTGTCATATTTTAATGTGTATGTCACTACATACTAATTCAGTCTAAAGTAAGTTAGAATTAATCCATCACACAATTGCCTACTTCATATTTTCTATTACATAATTATCATATTATATAAACATATATATTCAGTGGTAGATAAAACTTCAAATTTATAGGCAATCACATCAACAATGGAATCAGAAACGTATGAATGACTCATATATTCAACTTGGAAAAAATAAAATTAGAAATGCTTTTATAACTTTAACACCACATCTTTAAGATATGAGCAATAGTATTTTCATTAATTCATGCATAATAAAGATGTTAAGCAGACTGTTTGGGAGAAGTTAGTCAAAAGCCAAAAATAAGTATTTTATTTGACTTGTGGTTCTTGAAAACATTTTTGTACAACATCATATATTGACAATTCATAGAAAAACTGCTTAGAAAATAAAACAAAATTTTACATCTTATAATCCTTCTCCTATTTATTTTTGCTTCATAAAAACCGTGAATATTTTCTTCAGTAAGTTAAAATTCACAGAAAAATAATGTAAATGATACATAATGATTTTATCCCCAAAATGCACAAAGGTTTTGTTCATCTTTCCCCCATACAATGCATCCCTACATTTAGAAAAGTAAGACTAGAGAATGATGAATATGTGGCCACCCCAAAGTACAAAGCAAGGCCCTGTTTCAAAATAAAAGAAAAAGAGATAGGACTGTGGTGTGCTCCTTTTCGTTCCTTAAGCAACAACAAATTCGGAGCATATTTCAGAGTAAATAAACTTCTATTGCCAGTCGCCTCAAATCTAGAAATATAACAAAGAAAACTATTAAAATATTTACAAAATATGTGTATGTCATTATGAAGTTTGTGAAGGGTGTTCCTGAGTGAAAAACAATGGCAATGATAGGAACAAATGAATCATATCAGTTATTAGGGTTTTGAATTTTAGAAGCCCAATGGAATGCTCAAATTTTATCCTATGTGTTAATCTTTCAAATATAGAAGAGATGAAAGCAAAATGGGGCTCTTTTTTGCAATAGCAACATCTTCAAGAACAAATATTTACTTATCTACTAACTCAGTTTTTCTCACAGAAATTTGGCTCTTTAAACATGAACTATAAGAAATATACTTTAGAATATTCTGATTGATAAATTTATTCTATTATTAAGATTATATAATCAATATGTACACAACAAAACCCAGTAACACTTTCTTAATTTTGTGTGCTATTGTTTCAATGTGTTCTATGAAACTGATGGTCCTCGCTATACAGAACACAGGATTTACTCACATGCAAAGGCTTCATATATTTATCAACCCTTTTATTCTAATATCAACATAATTTATTCTTAACAACTTGTGATGTAATTAAAAATAAAAGATTTTATCAAGAACAGTTCACAGAAACAGGATCTAGAATCTTATGTAGGTATCAATAGTTTCTAGACCAGAGATTTAGGGAAGCTTTATTAAATTTAATCTCTTCAAGTGTATTTTATGGTTATGTGATATAACTGGAAATTATAAACATACAGGTGGGGATTAATAAAAAGACTGTATGGAAAGCATTCCATTTCTACTGAAAATTACCTAGACTTTCTTACCATTTCTGACAAACAACTTTTCGTATGGTTGATTCAAAAATTACTACACAGGAAGATTTTTTCTTTTTAGAATAATCAAATTTCTGCCACATAGGAAAATATAAGGAGATAGAACTTAGTAAAAATAGAGTATATGTAGCATAAATTATGACACATTTAGGACTGTATATTATTAGCATATCTACCAATAGCAATAAAATATTGTATTCATATTAAATTAAAATATATTACCAATAAATAGTTTCAGCAAGAAAAATCAAGCTATCCAGCAACAAATTACATTAGTAGACAAAAATGAAATCAACACTTGTTCTTAGGACTCACACAATGGGTTGGTCCATAATTTATATTTTCCCATTGTCCCCTTAGGGATGCAGAATAACAAGAACTCTAGAGATAATAACCACATTACTACAACTTAGTAATAGGGACACAGAGATCATCAATTTGATGAAAGTTTTAATATAATTCTACATTACATGAGTGTCATTTTTGTTCCTTGTAATGGTTCATGGAACTGTCCCACCTGGAAAGAACTTGGCTAGTGCTAATTATGTGGTGTAAGACATATGTTGTAATTTTCATGAGTTTCTTCTGCAGGTAACAATGACTTTTCCTGACATAAAAGGTTGGACTTGCCTCATTGGGTATGGCAAGACAGAATGCTTTGCAGTAATCATGTGGCCAAAGGAAAGCAAGAAATACATTGGTGACTTTTTGTCACCACAAACATCCTTCAATGAACATATCATCCCATTTTTTTTTTACATTTTAACTTTCTTTATTTAAAAAAATAAAAACAACCAACCCAACCCCTAACTAGGCATAAAAGCCTTTGTTCCAAATAGATAGTACACAAATGGTTTCTTTTTGTGTGCATTTTAAAGACTTAAGAAAGTTCTAATATCATAAATAATTTCTTCCTCAGATTGATTTTTGTAGAGCAGCATTAAAAAAACAGTAAGTAGAAAAGTGTATAAATTTGTCATTTATAAAAAATGGTTTTTCTCTTTGTAAAGTTTCTTATGCAATAGCAAAAAAACCATTACAGATTATACTTTCTTTTTATTTTTTATTACTTTATAAATAATACCAATCAAAATTTCCACTTCTTCCCCTCCTCCCATTTCCCTCCCACTCCCCCCACACCCTCCTTCTCTTCCCCCTCTAGTCCTGAGAGACAGCAAAAAAAACCCTGCCCTGTAGGAAGTCCAAGGCCCTTTCCCACTACATCCAGGCTTAGGAAGGTGTGCATCCAAATAGAGTAGGATCCCAAAAAGCCAGTCCATGCAGTAGAGACAAATCCCAGTGCCATTATCATTGGCTTCTCAGTCTGCCCCAGTGGTCAGCCACATTCAGAGGGTCCAGTTTGATCTCATGCTCATTCAGTCCCAGTCCAGCTGGATTTGGTGAGCTCCCATTAGATCAGGCACATTGTCTCAGTGAGTGGACCAACCCCTCATGGTCCTGACTTCCTTGCTCATATTCTCCCTCCTTCCACTCTTCAGCTGGACCTTGGGAGCTCAGTCCAGCGCTCCAATGTGGGTCTCTGTCCCTATCTCCATCTGTCAGAGGATGAAGGTTCTACGGTGATATTCAAGATAGTCATCAATTTGACTATGGGACAAGGCCAGTTCAGGTACTGTCACCTCCACTGCCTAGGGTCCTAGCTGGGATCATCCCCGTGGACTCCTGGGAATCCCTCCAGAGCCAAGCCTCTTGCCAACCCCAAAATGGCTTCCTCAATTAAGATATCTTCTTTCCTGCTCCAATATCTGTCCTTCATCCATCTCAAACATCCCACTCCCACAAGCTATCCCCCAAGTCTCCCCTTCTTCCCTCTATCTTGCCCTCTCCCCTTCCCTCACCCCATTTCCACACCCATACTCCCAACTTTTACCTAGCGATCTTCTCTGCTTCCAATTTCCAGAAGGTTTTTCTTTGGGTTCACCTTATTACTTAGCTTCTCTAGGATCATGAACTATAGGCTCAATGTCCTTTGTTTATAGCTAGAATCCACTAATGAGTGAGTACATACTATATTCATAGTTTTGGGTCTGGATTATCTCACTCAGGATAGTGTTTTCTACTTCCATCCATTTGCATGCAAACTTCAAGATGTCATTGTTTTCTACCGCAGCATAGTACTCTAATGTGTATATATTCCATACTTTCTTCATTGAAGGGCATCTAGGTTGTTTCCAGGTTCTGGCTATTACAAATAATGCTGCTATGAACATAGTTAAACAAATACTTTTGTAGTATGATTAGGCATCTCTTGGATATATTCCCAAGAGTGGTATTGCTGGATCCTGAGGTAGGTTGACTCCCAATTTTCTGAGAAACCACCACACTGATTTCCAAAGTGGTTGCACAAGTTTGCATTTTCACCAGCAATGGATGAGTGTTCCCCTTACTCCACATCCTCTCTAGCATAAGCTGCCTGGTATGTATGATTGACTGGTGTGGCTGTTTTGCATTCTGATCTTCAGGCAAACTTTATTAATATACAAATGAAATATCACTATACT